TGTTACTTTGTTCTGAAAGCTGAACCTGCTGCTCCTCACTGAGAGGAGAGGGAAGATGCTGTGAATGACTTTACATTGTGGATAAGGGTGGATAGCCCCCATTGTTCTGTGTGTCAAAATGAAAGACAGCCCACACACCTATCAATCATCAAACCGTGGGGTCTTATTTCGTTACGTGTTGATTTCTATCAACACGTAATGTTGTATCGATGTATATAGAGATGTACTACAGCAAAAGTATTCTTCGTAGGGACTTCCTGCAACAACACCACGCCGTTATCTTGATTCTGATTGGCCAGAAGACATTATCAAAGATGTTCTATTGAGAAGACGATCACTACGTGACAAACGTTTTCAAAACCGTTTCTAGTCTTCGGTATTCTTGTTTTTGGCGTGAGAATAGTTTGGGCAGCGTGAGAGCGTGAGATTGAGAGTGAAAGCGTGTGTCACACGCCAGATGCGTGAGAGTTGGCAACCCTGCATTTAAACCCGGGGGAGAAATGCTAACGCTAACGCTACATTAGCATCGGCGATCTTTTCTACTTCATGCTATCTGCACAAATGGTTGACATTAAACATTAAAAAGATCAGGCAGTTCAGAGAGTAAATTGACAAACATCATATGTGTAATTCGTGTCACAATTCAAACGTGATCGAAAGATAATCTTTCTCTCTCCATTGACTTCAATACATAATTTTTCCGAAATAAGGTCCCATGGAGGTCCACCGGAAGGGGAGGGATTTCGCCACTCTATACTGTTTCAGAAATAATCCTTGATAATCCATGATATCAGTGGCGGCCGGCCCATAGGGGCGCCGACCCCCCTCTTCCCACATTACATTTATTTTATTTTTTTTGAAAAAAATATTTATTTTATTTTATTTTTAATAAACAAGGTAAATATTATATAATTGGTATAAGTAAAATGTATAATCTACAATATAATCTCGTTTAAAATTGTGTTACGATGTCTAAAGTTACTGATAAATCACATGTTTCCTGCCTGGCCTTGCCCGTGTATCATTAGATCATTACCCACTCTCGTCTGGGCGCTGTGTAGCAAGTGCAGTAGAAGCCAACTGTTGCTATCTTTAAATTATGGCGCCGAAACATAATTTAAGCCAATCAGCGTCGTCAAATCTGATGGTCACAGGGCGCCTACATCGGCGCCCGGTGCAGTCTGTGAGTTGTTTGGAGTCGTATCCAAGGAGACAAGCTGTCATACACTCTGGAAGCTATCATTAGCAGCTAATGAAAACACCGTTTTTGACATAAAAATTGAATTATGGATTATCAATAATTAATGTCATTAAATCAAAGTGACAGACACATTGGATTAACCTATGGATTAACCTTCAACTGCGTTTTTCTCGTTTTTGATCAGAATAACAGCAAAAGGTGAGCATATCTCCGTGTGTTTTGCTACCTAAAGCTACGTTGTGTGATGTCTGTATTTGCTTCCCTTGTCGCGAGTTCTGATCGCTCAGTGATGATTCTTATATTTCTAGAATCTGTGGAATCTCAGCTTGTTAGCTAAACTTGTTTGTCCATATCCGATAAGTATATAGATTGATTTATACCTAGAGTGCGTTAGCATTTTTTCGCTCAGGGCTCATTTAGACGCTTCTTGTGAGACTTGTGTTTTGTTTCAGTAAACATGGTTCATATCACCAGTTAGCTGAGTTTCTTCCCGTTAAATGAGTAGGACACATGAATAGTTTATTACATTTTAAGAAGCCCTGAGACACAGTTTTGTGAAAAAAACAGGGGGAAAAAAGCCCCTTAACAGGTTAAATGGGAATTACATCATTTTAAGTAATTTGAGTGTTCCCAAAGCCCCGGTGTTCTGCAGTTCCTGTGGGCCTACTGTACTGTTGCACAGTTCATGCTGTAGAAACTATGTCCAGGTCAAGGTGTTTGGAAGTTTTGGAAGATTCATAGCTAACCACACTGAAGATTATGGAGGTATTGATCAGTCTTCTCACATTTTTAAGCCTCAATTTGTCCCCCCCCCCCTCTAACATCTCACACAGAGAGTTTAAATCAAAAACACAAAGCTCACCAGAATTTAGGGATTCATTCGACTTGAGCTTGCAGGTTTGAACAATTCTATGGAAATGTATTCAGTAAAAAAAAAAAAAAAATATATATATATAATAGGTAGTTAGAGCCTGGTGTTGTGTTGAGGAATTTAGGGATCATAGGAGTACAGCAAAGTACAGCCTGAGGCCGTGTTCACAATGGGTTTCACCTCAACGGCTTTTGACAATGCGAGGCTGTGTTGTCAGTTAGTTGCTGTTTATTTAGTGTTCATTATAAAGGTAAGATGGCCTGGGGCTTTGTGAAATGGTCTCCCCTTTTAAAGACCTTGAGCTTGATCTCTATGATCCGTGAATAATATGAAACATACACTGATTAACCAAATGTGAAACTTTATGAATGTGTGTGAACACCTTGTTCAAATACTAGCTGTTGTATGTCAATTTTAGGAAAATGCCCATCGTCAAAATGGTCAAAGTTCAATTCCAGTTTCCATTCAAGCACCTTATTTAGCTTTCTGCAATTCTTATCGTTTTTCTTATTTTATTTGAATGAGTTAATGAGACTGAACTAGTAATTGTTAAGGTGCCCCAAAGCAGCTTCATTTCAATATGACAAACAATTATGTAAATATTTGAAATGCTGGAAGGTTTTAGTAAAGGTTTTAGCTGCGCTCTCACTGGAAGGCGGCGTTTGTCTTCTTAGTGTTAGATTAGATGGGGTTAAAAAAAATTACATTTGATCTGTATACACTTTTGTACAGGAGCCTTCAGAAAGTGACCACAACCAATATCAGAATTTGAGTTAGAGCAATAGGGAAATGTAGTCTTGAACAGTGATTAAGGGGGACTTTACAGGGATAAGACAGGTGTAATAATTATACAGAAAAATCTGTCCTCATCCTACTAAAGCATGTTGAATTCAGCAGAGACGAAAAGAGAGAGTTGGCAGAGCAGGAATTTCAAGGGTGGGGAGAGATTAGACGCAGAACAAGCAGGGACTTTGTGTAAATGGGAGTGCTGAGACAGGGCTAGCCCTGAGGGCACAGAGAGGAGAACACCTGTGCTCTAAAGGACTATCCATCATCCCTAAAACACACACACACACACACACACACACACACACACACACACAACACACACACACACACCACACACACACACCACACAGCACACACACACACAGCACGACAGCACACACACACACACACACACACACCACACACACACACACACAACACACACACACACACACACACACACTACACACACACACACACACACACACACACACACACACACACACACACACACACACACACACACACACACACTTCCCATCAGGGGCCTTTAATGTCTAACCTGCCAGGTTGCTACCAGTATTTTTTATCTTATAAGAAAGAAAGAATAAGACAAGGTAACCATGCTCAAAATTAATCAATAATTTGGTTTACATGTGGTTAATACCCAGATTTCTCAACACCAATCTTGTGACCTACAGTGTCCTACAGTGTCTCAACACCTGGTCAAGGAATTCATATTTCAAAGTTTCCACTGTGCCGTCTGATATACAGATTAAGACACTCATGGTCAAAAAGTCACATTAACAAAGCAACCTGTGTTTTTCCCTGAACAATCTTTCATCAGCTGCTCGATGCAAGGAGGGCCCAAGGACCCTGTGTACCAGCTGGTGTACTTCTGCAAGCTATGCTGGCGACCATATTCAGTTATTTGGGATACTTGTAAACAGCACAGCGGTCATTTGGCTAAAGGCTGTCATTAACTCCCAATTTAGTGGTACGGTATACTAACAGTATTCTAGCCCCATGAGAGAGTACATGAATATAAATGTGGCGGTTGATTAGATGTTCATATTTAGAAGTTTTCCAAAAACGTTTCTGTGTTCTTTTTCTAAAAAAGTGCTACCGAAAACAAAAACAAACGAAGACCTTCAAATCTATAAGAGCACTGATGTCAGATATCTGCCAAAACCATTTACTTAACTAAGAAATAATGCTTTTTTCCGCTTGTGGTCAAATCCCCTTTAAATGTAATAAGATTGTCCTTGGCACATGCTATACAGTATCTTTTAACCAAGTTATACAAATCAGGCCAGGCATTTTTCAGTAATCCTGCTAACAAACAGAAAAACAAACAGAGCAAACCATAAGTTGTATAGATCGTGTGCATGTGTTTATTTGTACTGTATATACTGTAAATGTGAAAGATAGCATGAAAAACTGAATCTCCCCTTGTCTTCTTCTTCCTATAAGGTTTCTCCAGCGGGGTGCCAAAGGGTTAAATGCTAACAGAAGCATCAAACGTCAATAGTTTAAAATAGCTAGCAAAATAGCACTCGGGCTATACTATATTATTGGAAATGTGTGAAAAATAAAACATTTACCAGTCAACGTTACACGGGTCAACATTAAAATACCAACTCTGGCTGTTAAACTTGGTCAGTAGAGGTTTACAATTTCAATAATTCATTCTGGAATAAAGGGTCCGGGATATGGCTAGCCTTAGCATTTCCTGTTCGGGTCTCATGATTGGAAAATATTTTATTGTGTTCTATAAATAACTAAGCGTTATATAAACAATAACACAGTGTGTGTGCCGTGCGCCCCATCGTATTTATGGGATGGACATTGACCTTCCTGTTCCTTTGTTGCCATTTCACTGACTCATTTAATTGGACTGTTGCTTCAGTTCCTCAATATCACTCAACACATTCATTGGCATCACACCGCTGTGAGGGAATACTCATTGACAGACTAAAACCATATTAGCTCATCTAAGTATTAGTAACTGTATGAGGGTAAAATGGGCTTTATAACATGTGCAAGGATGTACTAAATCTTGTTTACTTGTTGGGATTATGTTGCAGTTGTTATGATAAAAGCAGCAAGATACCTTCGATATGAAAACTAACCTGTACATGTGGTCGGTTTTCTTTTCAGATAATTCTGAAGTTAAGAACAGATCAAGAAAAAGTAACAAAGAGCCGACAAGTCCAGAGGGGACTCGACAAAGGAGGGTTAAATATTCCTGAAGATGGAACCGCAGATTTGGCAAACGCAGGTCGCCCCTCAAATCTCTCCTGGAGAGCTGAAAAAGAAGGTGTCAATCATGAGCCAGCCGGAGTGCTCCATCTGCTACAACACCTACGACAATGTCTTCAAAACACCCAAGCAGCTGGACTGCACCCACACATTCTGCCTGGAGTGCCTCTCCCGCCTCATGGCCGTCTCGCTGAGTGACCAGGAGGATTCCGGCGGCAGCCCCCGCCTCTTATGCCCCTTCTGCCGCCACCCCACCACGCTGCCTGAGCAGGGCCCCCCCGCCCTCACCACCAGCCGAGAGGTCCTCTGCAAGCTGCCCAGCCACCAGCAGCAGGAGGAGCCGGTGTGGCTGGAGGGGGAGAAGCTGTGCTACAAAAGCTCCAAACAAGACCCCAGCTTGGGCGCCTCTGAAAGCCCCTCGTCCTTCTGCATCTGCATTGACATTGGGGCCAGCAAGGTGATAGACGCTCCTATCCAGACGGGGCCCCGGACTTCTGGGCTGCTGGCCCGACTGGCGGACTGGAAGAGGCTGGTGCTCTTCATGGTGCTCATCGTGCTGCTCATCGTGGTTGTGTTATGGCCCCTGCAGTGTGTGTTCAGCACTGGGAACATGCGCTGTATGCGGGATCACGTCGTCCTGAACCCCACTACCACAACGACCACCACTCTCAGCCCCTTCACCAAAACACACGGTCGGACACAGTGAACTTTAGACTGACTGGACTTCAATATAAACGCACATTATATTGGATATGACACATTTCACCAAATTGCTCTTTTGCCACAGATGTTAAAGCCACTTTGTGTGGCCTATTTAGATGTCGGACTTTATCATCCCCTAGTGTTTGGTTTCTAAATGGGTGGGATGAAAGGGTTGAAAGAAACATAGACTGAACTAATTTTCACTTTTTCTGTTATTGTGTCATGTTCCATTAGCTTGATTTGAATTAAAAAATATGTTATCCTTAACAACTGTCATTACATGTGAATTTAGGCTTTGAAACTCAGTGGTGCAAGATGGCCTCTGACAGGCACTTTGGCTCGAATTGTGTTCAGTGACACAGACATTGACAGAATCCACATTTACCGAGCGTACTGGATATCAGATGACAGAGCACGAGTGGGTTTATATGTGCATACAAACGGGTATTTCCAAATGAAAAAGTTACATTATTTTGAACTCGATTTGTAAATATATGGATTTATTTTCAACAAATATTCAACTTTACCGTAAGGGTTAGTAAGGTCACAAAACAGGAAATGAATGTCAACCCAATGTGCCAACATGAACTTTTTAAAGTGTGCCTTTCGTCATGGCCTTGTTTACAGAAGATAATAAAAAGGGAGACTTTAGCTTGAATCATGTTTCTAGGAAACTTTGGTGCCTCATTATTTAGATTAGGAGCATTTCATGACATTTGGCACTTTGTTAGGTAGTGGTTTAATTTGTATGAAAGCAGGTGTCTCAAATTCCCCTTTAAGTAGCACACAGCTCCTGACGGGCTTAAACGCAAATAGAAAATAGGTACCATTTACCAGAGCGCTGTTTATTATTTCCTCCCTCTCCGACCCTTAAACCAAAAACCATAAAAGACAACCCTTCCTTCAGATTGGAAGGAAGGAAGAGCCTTTATTTTTATTCCTGCTTTAGGTGCGTCAGATAAAGGAAAAGTTTGGATTGGGGGGTTTTCCAAATACCTCACTTGTGTGTCATTTAGGTGCAGCCGTAATAAAGTGCTACTTCCCTGAGGAACTTACAGTAAACATGGTTAAATGATACATGCAGATAGATTAGAAAAAGGCTCAGTCATCGCTTCAACATGGATTGTGGAAAATATATCCTAAATCAGAACGACAATAATAACTTTAATAATAATTTATGTAAAGAACGAGTAAAAAGTTCTTGTTCATTGGCTTTATTTTTCTCTAGGGAATTTACACATTTATAAAAAAGGATAGCCAAATATGAAATGGTCTTTGCATTCCAATGAAGCAGAATTAAACTGTTTCCTTGTTGATAGCAGCTACATAAGACACTTTCATTCAACACTTAATGCGCCTCGTGTTAAAATGCTGAAAATAACAGCAGCGCTTACTTCAAACTCATTCTTGTGGTTCCCCCCCCCCCGGTTTTTATCAAAAGTTATAAAGCAAAATACAGATTATAAAATAATCATTCATTACCGTTTAATTTGCATTTTTTCCGGAATGTGTTTCCTGCCTTGCTTTTTTAATATTAATTCTTGTTAACTCGTGTTCACTGGGCTTTATTCTCCATCATCACACGGTTCATGCTCCAGATTAACACATCAGAAATAAAGCAATATCCAAGTGCGACTTAACATAGTGCCATCATAGATTTTTATTAAACTATATGATAATAAACCATTTTGTTGCCATTTCTGGCAGCTCATTGCATCAGCATTTGTAGCCTATACAGCGAAAAGGCGTCTGGGCAGAGCCAGTGCAAGAAGAGGGGGAGAAGGGGGGACAACATGGGAGGTCACCACTACTCACTTCAGGCATACTGCCACCAACAGAAACACGGAATCAAAACAAAAAGACATCATGTTCAAGTAAAAGTAAGAGGACGAGCAGAACCTCTTACCTCCATGTATGCTGGTTCAACTCAAATGTACTCATCAAAAGGTGAAATGACACCAGAAATAATAACAATTCAGATACATTACAAAATGCAAGAGTGGATAAAACAATCAATTACAAATACCATTTGAAATGAAACAAGAAAAAAAACAAAACACTGAAAGTCTAGTGCACTACCAAAAATACTCCCACAGCCGACAGACATCCACACACACAGGCCAACAATTCAGCAGGTTCACACTTTCAAGTATTGATGCTTCACCATATCATTAGAAAACAAGTTTGACCCATAGAGGCAAAGTGAAATACAATAAAAATCTAAATTATCCACAGCGCAAGATGGTTCAGAAACACAGACACAAACCCATGAAATTCATTCATCGGACATACAGTAGATCACAGTTCAGAAGAAAAAGGACAAAAAGGAAAAAAACGGAAGAATACAAACATGTTCATTGTCCAAATCTACCGAAGTACATCGAGTGGTGCAGCATATTTCAGACAGACATTGGCCTTCACTGACAGGGCATCAATGCCACACATTAATAAAACATAGCTTTTATTCACATAAGGAATCAACCATTAGAATACACTTGCAGCAATTTATGGCGGGAAAACTCTCAACGCTGAGGGAAAAGAAGGACAGCAGTTTCAGCTGAAACTTTAATACAATTATTATTTTAAGAACAGAACTCACACAGAGTGGCTGCTGCAGCTTACACTGTGCCTTTATTTTAATATCCCGCACATGTCAACAGTATCAAATTACAGTTTATTACAGTGCAATGACTGACTTCTACTACTTCAGTATATTTTGATTACGCATTGTATTTTAAATAATTTATTTTAAATATATTTGTGAGCCACAGCAGCAGAAACTGGCCAATGAGTGAAGAAAAGTGAGTGTCCTTGACCTGGTTAGCTAACATCTCTGTTGGTGAGGAAGAGGAATGGTCTGAGCGCTCATTGATTGATTATTTCTTTTTTTCAGAAAAAGGTGGAACACATTGTCTAGTTTTTATTTGTTGGACTTTAGGATGATCAAGTGGTTCCTTTTTAAATACGTTGGGTCAGATTTCAATGCTTCTGTACTTGTATTTGATCAGGATATTTTGGTGCTGATCCTGGAGCTATAAATAGCAAACAATCTGGCAGACGGTGCCGAGGGCTCAGCGCTCCGCAGCACCACCGTCTTCGTTATCGCATCACTGACGTGGGCTTACTCGCCCCGCTATCATCAAGCCTGGATTATGTCCATCTTCCAAATTACTTTTCGGAGACAAATCTATTCCTCAATCTCAGGCAGATGGCCATCTGGCCCGCGTCATAATCGCCCCGTTTTCCCTCGTCTCCTTGTGACCATCTCCTCCGACAGATGTTGAACTGCATCAGACTCGCTGATTTACGAGGGCAGCCAGTCAAAAACTGAGCTGAGAGACGGCCATTCAGGAATCCTCTCCACCTGTTTCTGGTCAAATGTGGACCGCTATTACAATCTATCGATAAATCATCTTAAAATCTGTGGATGCTGCTCAGACGACTGTGCTCAAACGTGATCTCTTCCACCATAATGATTCTTTATAAAAGTATGAATTTGAAGAATCTCATATGTTACACAAATGTTAAGAATTATTGAAATAATGAAAATATGGTGATTTGAAGGACAGACATTTTCATGATTGAGTTTATACTCAAAGTGGGACCAGCTGTAGGCCATCCAATGACAGACAGGGCTGATTAATTTGTTCAAATGATGACCTCAAATTCTCACAGAGCACAGAACAGCTGATTTGCATATGCAGAAAATCATATGCCGTACAAACAAACAAATACCTTTTTTTAAAAGCTGAAATTATCATGATAAAACCTTTTGGAGGAAAGGGCTTGTTTGCCCTTCACCTGTGCCTCAGGGTCCTTCAGCAGGCTACGTAACGGTCCCTGCGATCACTCAGCGGCCACATTAATAACCGCCACAACTGGAGAGACCGAATGCCTCAAAACAGTCTGAGGCTCAGGCTCAAATGAAAGATGGAGAAAGAGGAATAGCGAAGGTGAATTCTGGCAAGGAGCAGACAAACAGCTTAGCTTTGACCTCTTCACAGGTCCCGTACAGTTCTGTTCTATTCAGGCCAGGGGAACACTCCTAATTTTCCTTCATCCAGAGCAAAAACAACTTTGATTTCCAGAATTTGGAAAAGTGGTAAAAGTTGAGGGGGAACAGCACGATTTAGAGGGATTACAGACACATCCTGAGTCAAGGCACTTACGCTGAGAAAGAAAGGAAGTGGGGGGAGAAAGGGGGGAGAGTCCTGAGCGAGAGCATTATGCTGTGGAGTCATCCTCTCTACGGAGGGTAAGCTTTGACTCGGTCCAGCAGGAGAAAGGGGGTCGGCTCGCAGCATGCAGCCCAGGCAGGGTGCACTGATGCTGGGTGTAGTCAGAGACTCACTCCCTCCTCCCCCAGAGGGATTCAGGCGCTGATGAAGCGACACCTCCGCTGAAACTGAAGCAAACACAAACAGACAGGAAGACAAGTGGAGTTAATGGCTGGTGTCACTTTGAATCATGAAATCAGGACAGGGTGTACATCAGGATATGGAGCTCAAAGCAGCATTTATATAGCATGCAGTAGCTACACACTAGATCAAATCCAAAGTTTGGATTTCAAATGTAATTTGATTTTAAATACGTTTTAGATTGACTTGAAATGCTGTTAAGCAGTCAGAAATGTAGCTCTGTTGTGATTGGTTAACGGCTTAGAGATGCCCTGCCCATTAGCCTATCGGGTTATAATGTGTTGTAGCGCTAGCAAATAGAAGCGTGAGTGTTACTTGGAGATATACAGTATCATATATAACTTCCAAGTGAACAGAGGAGTCCAATAAAGGCGTTTCAGGCAGGGGGGAGTTGGTGGGAGAGAAACTGCCAATGGTGGGAACTTTGGGATGTTTGCCTTTGCAGACCATTTACATGCACAGAAATAATAATTAATAATAATTCCTTACATTTATTATAGCGCTTTTCCAGATGCTCAAAGCGCTTTACAAATACACATTACACGTATCATACATGCAATGGTCATGTACTGTGGACAATACCCACAGGAACAAGTTCAGGTGAAGTGTCTTGCCCAAGGAAATGTGTATATCACAGCTCAGGAAAGGGAAAACTCCAAAAAGCAGTATAGGGCCCCTTTAAAACCATATTGTATGGCTCTTTATGGGCCATACAATATATAAGAAAAACACTTTTTTTTAACGCAATGACATGTAAAAAGGATGAAAACAATATGCATATTTTAATGCCCCATAAATAACTTGAATTCCTGCCTCACAATGTATGCCTTCACAGACCATTCAAGTCACAGTTTAAATCAATATCTGTCCAAAATGCCATCATTTTATGAAATGATCCTATAAGTTACCAAATGATTATCAGTTCGTACTTAAGTCTAAGAGGATGTTTGTGCCAAATTTACAAAAAATCCCTTAAGGCATTACTGAGATACTGGAACACATACTGTAGTTCTAATACTGTGGACATTGCTGTTATTTTGTCCTCATCGGCCCCCCATCCCGTACCAAAACCATCCAGAATTTTAACTTCACCATTGACAGCCACACTCTATGCCCCCCCCCCCCTCACATCCGCAACTTCGGAGTCATCTTCGACAGTCAGCTCAAATTCAATCACCACATCAATCACATCACCAGGACCGCCTTTTTCCACCTCAAAAATATTGCCCGTCT